TAAAATGAAATTCAAAATCATGCTACATGGATATGGCAGGGTGACCGTGGTATTGTGTAGTGTTTCCTAAAGCAAGCCTCTGAATTTTTGAAGTTTGTTCATCTTTCTTTGTATTTTGATTCTCTGGGACTTGACAATACTGTGGTCAGAAATGTGGAAATTATGGCAATGTATAGCCTAATACATGATGTAAAACTTTAAAGGGCTTTAAAGATCTAATTTAAATCATATTTAGGATTCATTCACTGTACCAGTATTAGACAATACAGTTAGGAGGTGTGACCAAAGAGGATTCAGAGAACTATTACCTTCTCCAGTGTTCTGGTTTTGTGGACTTCTCCCTCTTCTTTTTAATGTGTCCATTCCAGAGAATCCACCAGGGCAGATACTCTCTTTTTTCTACCACCTCTATTGGTTTTATTGAAGTTAAAAATAAAGACAGCTAAAGTGTAAGTGCTTAGCATTGTATCATTCTAAGCTTTTACATGTACTCATTCATATTATCTTGGCAGTAACTCTATGAGGAAGGTACTTATCCCTATAATGAAATGAAGGCACAGACACATTTAGTAGTTTGTCCAAGTTCACTCAGCTGATAAGTGGGGAGCTGGGATTAGAACTCAAACAGCCTGGATGCAAAGTTCATGCTCATAACCATTCACCTGAACTTCATCTTAAACTGAAGATAACACTGGACTTAACATCCTTATTAAATTATTAAATCCAATTTTGGTAAAACAACATTATCCACCATGTTAAGCTGAGGACTTCTGTTTGAATTTAACTGGTTTTGAAACTTTGTTTAATTTGTAAACTTGTTTTGGTTTCATGTTTGTATAAAAGATATAAAGAGGTTATACTTATGTTTGTATATTTATAATTAAAATACAAAAATAATTTAAGTGAACAGTTAGAGTAGTTCTCAATTTTTTTTCCTTTAAAAGTTTTCAAAAAAATATTGCTTATGTTTAAGAGACACTTGACTGTGACAAAGTCAGCCTGACAAGGTCAGGCTCTTAATATGGTATTATTATTATTTTGTCACTAAGTCCCATCTGACTCTTTGTGGCCTGGTGGACTGTAGCCCTCCAGGCTGCTTTGTCCATGGGCTTTCCCAGGCAGTAATACTCAAGTGGATTGTTATTTCCTTCTCCAGAGGCTCTTCCTGACCCAGGGATTGAACCCACATCTCCTGCTTGGCAGGCAGATTCTTTACCACTGAGCCACTTGAGAAGCCCTATAATTTGGTATAGAGCTCCTTAAATATATACTCCTTATCCATGTCTTCGGTTGATTTCTCACCATTTCATTCAGTAACTTTTCACTGTACTTCTAGAACACTAAGTTCCACTCAAGTGTCTTGCCTCATCTGCAGCCCTTGCATAGATTATCTTTTCTTATCCCACTCCTAACCCCCTGTCTTAGATCAGGTGGCTATCCTAGGAAGACTGGCATAATATTCCTCCAGTGCTTCCCTGAGCTTGGTTGGTGACCCGCTTTTCTGATACCCCATAATGTGCACCCTTCTATTATTTTACCTACCAAATTGTTTTAGTAATTTTTGTACCTCTTTTCTGTTAGATTGATCACTCCTCGAGCAAAGGGAAAAGTGCAGAATGACAGCTATAATTAAAGGTACTTGTGCTGGCTCCAGTGGCTGCCTTTTCCTCAAGCCACCATCTTTCTTCCCAGCTGACTCTTGAAGCTCCAAACTGAAGCCACCATCAGCTGTCACTCAAGGATTAAAAACTTAGTTTGGGGAAACAGTTTACCATACAACATTATTTCTCATATGCCTAGATGAATTTATCCTGCAATTAATGTTCTCTCCCCCACATCCTTAATTTCTTCTTCTCTTGATAATGGTTCCCATCAGCAAACAAACAGTTCATTGGACCTCACTTGTTAAAAATAATTCTCTCTTGACCATTTCCTGTCTAGCTGCTGTTCCACTACCTGGCCACCTGTTTCCCTTTTTGTTTCCTTTTCATAGAAAACATTTTTTTGGTAGAATTGGTTCTAGTTATTTCCCCCTCTGCTGGTGCTGATTCAAGAGATGCTAGTACGTTGGTAGACCTAAAATTTTTTCCAGGGCTCTTAACATGCTGTAAGTCAGGAAATGTCAGGAGCCAACAACAAAGTTACTGAATGAAAGCCCTGAAGGTCAGCATTTCCTAATTGGAGGCAAAGGTCTCATTGGCAGGCTCAGACTTCCCATTTTTTCTGATAAAATGCCTCTGTGTCATGAGTTAGGGCTTCTTACATTGAGGGTCAGAGTGAGAATGGAAGGTTTGGAGACAAAGTAGGAGGAAATGGAAAAGGATTGTTGACTTATGTAGTACTCATGAAAATGTACTCCTTTGAGTTGGGCTGGTAATGGTGTATCCTCTGGTCCCATGATTCTAATGCAGCCCATGATTTCCCTGAGATTTCTGAAGATTCTGAAAGCCAAACTGGGCTGTGCTTCTCTAAGTTACCTCAGGACCTCAGGGAAGTTGGGGAAAGAGTTTGTCTTGGTAGCTATGATAGAAAATACAGTACTTCTCATATTTTGAATGCAGAACCTGACGTTCAAACTGCCCCCAAGGTACCATACTAGTAAATGCTAATGAATGTTAATTATTGGGATTTGAAACCGAAGCTTGATTCCATAGCATGTACTCTTTCCACTATTTCATCTATATAAAATACATAAACTCTTTTAACTAACTTTGAAGCTGCACTGTATTGTATAATAGCCACTAACCCACTGCTTTTGAAATTAAAGTTTATTTAAAAAAATGAAACTAAATTTAAATTAAAAATTCAGCTCCTCAGTCCATTAGCCATGTTTTTAGTACTCAACAACTACACATAACTTGAGCTACCATATTGGGAGGATATGGAACTTTTCTATCAAAAAGACCTATTAAGACAGCACTGCTTTCAAGACATTCCTTTTCCTTGGAAGAATCCGACACTCCTACAATTCTATACTATTGGTACTGATCCTAATTGTAGAACCTTTGTTCTCTTATTTTTTTCTCATTATTCATTTTGACTATCTTGGCATTATTTTTTGCATAATTCCTCTTTTACTTTGGGTTAGTCAGAATTCTCCTTTCACCTTTTAAATTTGCCCTTTTCTCAAAATGGTCTGTTTTACATTAGCCTTGCCACTTCCATAAATTTGAATTCTGTGTCATGAGATGAGTGTTGACACTGTACTTTGTGCTTACCTGGCCAGCCCTTCAGGGATTCATCTACCAGATCGTGTTCTCCCCTTTGATATATTCCTTTGGTTCTACTTCCTTAGCACTCCTTCCCCCCATCCCCCATACTTATCTGCTCTCTTTTAGTTCAGTTCAGTCACTCAGTCATGTCTGACTGTTTGCGATCCCATGGACTGCAGCACGCCAGGCCTCCCTGTCCATCACCAGCTCCTGGAGCTTACTCAAACTCATGTCCATTGAGTCGGATATGCCATCCAACCATCTCATCCTCTGTTGTCCCCTTCTCCTCCCACCTTCAATCTTTCCCAGCATCAGAGGCTTTTCAAACGAGTCAGTTCTTCGCATCAAGTGGCCAAAGTATTGGAGTTGCAGCTTCAACATCAGTCCTTCCAATGAATATTCAGGACTCATTTCCTTTAGGATGGACAGGTTGAATCTCCTTGCAGTCCAAGGGACTCTCAAGAGTCTTCTGCAAAACCACAGTTCAAAAGTGTCAATTCTTCAGTGCTCAGCTTTCTTTATAGTCCAACTCTCACATTCATGTATGACTACTGGAAAAACCATAGCTTTGACTAGGTGGACCTTTGTTGGCGAAGATAATGTCTCCACTTTTTAGTATTCTGTCTAGGTTGCTCTTAGCTTTTCTTCCAAAGAGTAAGTGTCTTTTAATTTCATGACTGCAGTCCATCTGCTGTGGTTTTAGAGCCCCCCAAAATAAAGTCTCTCACTGTTCCCCATAAACAGCATGAAAAGGCTCCCTTTTAAATGTAACACTTTTCTTGTGGTTATTACTTCTTTATATTCAAGTCTCTTTTAATCCAAGATTTCTGGATACTTGAAGTTCATACCTTTTGATTTGACTTGCTAGAAAACATAGAGATACTCTTTCTCTTTACATTGTGAATTTTTCAGGGTTGAAAAGTTCTTTGACCTTTAAATTATGACTCATAATTTGCTTAAACCAGTGTTGTTGGGTGATAGGATCCAGGCTGTAACCAAAATGAAGACTCCAGGGTCTTAATCCCTCAGCTTGTGTCATCAAGCTTTCAAAAAGAGGAGTCTTGAGATCTAAGACTCTGTCTCTGCTTTCCCTCTGGTACGTGTGTCATAGTACTAAGCATGTTGAGGGCTTCCCAGGTGGCTCAGAGGGTAAAGAATCTGTCTGCCAACGCTGGAGACATAGGTTCGATCCCTGGGTCGGGAAGATCCCCTGGAGGAGGAAATGGCAACCCACTCCGGTATTCTTGCCTGGGAAATCCCATGGACGGGCAGCCTGGTGAGCTACAGTCTATAGGGTCCCAAAGAGTTGGACATTGAGCAACTGAGCATGTGCACACGCACCAAGCATGTCATCTTGTGTATTCAACAAATACAGCTGACTAACTGTGTTAAGGCAAGTTATATGGTTAACTGTCTCTTCCTGTTTTTTTCCTCCTATTTTTGCTTTATTTAACCCAATATAGAGTGAGTAATATAATGCCTTTTAAATCTGATGAATTGTTATGCACCTAATTCAAATTTAGGGAGTGCTAGGTCTTCTTCCTTATAAATCTGTGTAAATCTGTTGATATAAATATTCTTCTCATATCAACTGGTTTTACTGTCAAAGGTGATTTGGGAACTTATAGCTGCAAACCTTTCTTGCCTTTTAAAATCTTCCACGCCACAGTGTTCTGTGTGTTTTGATATAGGAGCTTTTACACTTGAAATGATAGAAAAACAAGGAAAGTATCCTCTTCAACTGGACTTGTGAGGCTTAAGCTTTGTTTTGTTTTCTTTTTCTTTCAGCACCTGTGTTGTGCAACTATACACAGGATTGATGGGGTGCAAAAGAGGCTGCCCTTTAGCACTTTAAAGAAGCTGGGCCAGTCTTCAAGTTGGCCCTTGAAAAGCAGGTATTACCCTCGCTGCTGAACGGATGTGCTGGTAGCAGCCTGGGGATAAAGAACATCAGCAGAATTGGCCTGAATGTTCACTTTCACTTGAGACACTTCAATCTCAGAGAAGAAGGAACTGTGTAGATGGTGTGACTGAGGGAGAAGATGTGTGTGACCCAGCTCTTCCAGCTGCCTTGCAAAAACTTCAGGGGCCCTAGCAGATGGCAGATCAGAAGTCTAGTAGCATTGGTTATAATTCACCATAGAGCTGTGTGTATATGTGTGTAAATATATACATTTGGTACATATATATTTATAGCATAGTTTTATATAATGTATTTACATAGGTATCAAATATATACACATATGCACAAATATATATAACAAAACTGTATATATTTACATAGTCCATAAATACATATAGTATATACATGGACGTTCCTGCTGGTTCAAATGGTGAAGAATCCAGCTGCAATGCAAGAGACCCAGGTTCAATCCCTCAGTCGGGAAAATCCCCTGGAGAAGGGAATGGCAACCCACTCCAGTATTCTTGTCTGGGAAGTCCCATGGACAGAGGAGCCTGGTGGGATACGTAAATATCCATTGTTTGTAAGTATATTTATTGTCTAGATGTGTTAATTTTTCTTCAATCAGTCTTGCGCTCGGGTTTTCATGATTATGGAATCCTTGGTGTCTATTCACAGGATAAACTTGAAACCAATGATTTCCAAGTGCTAAGTGTCATCTGTTGCCTCTAAGCCATGTTGTGTTTCTCAATACTCCCTGAACAGGTCAAACTTTGCTAACACTTGTATTGGGTTGGTCAAAAAGTTTTCCGAGTTTTCCCATAATGAACTTTTTTGGCCAACCCAATATTTCAGTATGTTTTCTCCATATCTCTGCCTTGAAAATTTTCCTCTCAGTTCTCTGATAGACTTTTACTCCTTTTTAAGATATGACAGAAATGTTGCCTTCTTGGTAAAGCCTTTCCAGACTCCTTCAGGCCAGTGGCTCCTTCCCTTAAGCTCCCACAGGGCTTAGTTTATTCTTCTGTTGTAACACTCGGCACATACTGTAATTATCACTCTGAATGTCATCTCTCTGGTGAGCTTCTGGAGCAGAGGTTGTTTTTATTTCCTTACCATCTAGCACAGACCTAGACTTATCATCGGTGCTTGACTGAAAGAATAAATGAATGAATAAAACATCCCACCTCACTGTTTGAAACATGCTTCAGTTCTTCCAACTGCTGTTTCTTTTGTGCTGCTTTTCTTTATCCTCTTCCCTGTCACATGTTCTTCTGTTCTACCTGGTAGATTTTAGAGCTTACGAAGTACGTGTTTAAAGATTTAAAATATAGTGCCTTGAACTCCTTAGAGGAAAAGTCTATGAATAAATAATTAGACTCATTTCACATCAAAATCTAAAGTGTGAAAAACTGTTCGCTATCATTTGGTGCTTTATTCACTTGTATGGTAATCTAATGGCACATCCATTGTTATCCCTGAACTACACTGAAATATTTTACTCTTGGGGCTTTGTCATCTGACAAAAGGAGGCTTTTTGAAAATGAAAAAGCATAGTTCCTGTCCCTGGTATGCTGAGGGGCAATTTATTAGTTTTGCAACGCATGGGTTAATATTACCATGTTTTATAATGAACATTACCTGAGGAAATTGCTATTACTATCACGGCAGCATGTATGTATATAGGTCCTGTCATCTTTGGGGTATGTAAATCAGGAATGTTGCCGAAGAACTACTTAGCATTTTCTTGGGGGTGAAGTGCTTAGTTTTGGAATTTAATTGTAGGTTTTACATTTAAGCTGTTCAGTATTACTCTTATAAAGGTTCTATAAATTTCTTGCTTTGTAGTTTAACAGGTTTAGTCACTACAGTTGAAAGGCATCATCCTCATAATGAAGCCAGAAAAGAATAAAGGTTGATCATGCAGGGCTGGCTGGCTGTGACATTGAACAATAGAGCTTGACTTCTTCGTGTCTGTTAAATTAGACTATGGGGTGTGCTTATCTTGCTGCAATGATATTGAATTGTAACAAGAAAATGTTATGTTGTGCAGCTCTGCAGAGCGGGGTGTGCATCTCGTCTCACTTTGCATGTATGGGGAAAGCTTTAAAATACTACTGAAGCTGCCTTGTGAGCCTAAAGTCTAATGGCACAGACTGGGCAGACTACTGAAATAAAAATAAAAAATTGCAAAGGTTTTTGAGTATCCTGTAAAGTTTTATCCATTGCTGTCTTTTTTAAAGGACTGAGGGCAGCTCAGGAAGCATATGCTAGAAAAATTCAGTTTTGAAGAGGTCTTTGAAGAAGGACTTCCCTGGTGGCTCAGATGGTCAAGTGTCTGTCTATAATGCGGGAGACCTGGGTTCAGTCCCTGGGTCAGGAAGATTCCCTGGAGAAGGAGGCGGCAACCCACTCCAGTATTCTTGCCTAGAAAATCCCGTGGATGGAGGAGCTTGGTGCAGGCTACTGTCCATGGGGTCGCAAAGAGTTGGGCACGACTGAGCAACTTCCCTTTGAAGAAGACAAATAATTCAGCCTGAAGGAAAAGTAAGAGGATATTATGTTACATTGGTGACAGATTTATTCTAAACTTTTCTACATGTGTACATGGTACAGTTCAACTCAATTCTCTAAATATTAATGAAATAACTTCTGGGTTTCTAACACTATGTTGTATACCATCGGAGGTTTTGAAAAAGTGTGTGATTCAATCATGCCCTGATGAATTTAGTATCTTTGAGGAGACAAAAATTAAATCGATGAAATAACTTCTTAGAATTGTCGGATGTATGAATGACAGTATTGTAAGCTGTCAAGATCGTTTACAATTTTGATTCTGTTATTATATGTATCATTCCCAGATGTGTCACATGAGCATTTGATAGGCATCCCTTTTATCTCTTAAGTCACTGTTAAAAATATGGAAGAGTCAAGGGCAAGGTTAGGAGCAAGAAAGAGTCTCTGACACTTCCCACGGTTATTCTTTGCAAATGTTTGTTGTCTTCTCTTGAACACTGCATTATTCTCTAAACATGTTTGAAGTACCCAGTTAATAATCTGTTACAGAATTTTATCATGAATGTTAAGCTACTTTTCAAGTTTTTATATGTACTTATTTAACTCTTCCAAAAAAATCACAATAGCATTTCTATAGTTCTGTTTGCTATTTCTCTCTCATTTGTCATAATTCTTTAGTGGATTCCAGAGAGGACTACAAATAGAAGTTTTAAATTTAGTTAGCATGGTGGAGTATAGATTGCTCTGTCTGTAGATTCAAACCTTCTTAAAGCAGCTACTAGGTCCCCTATTATTTCCTTACTTACGGTAGCCTACATTTTCTTCTTTATGCTATTTATCTTTCTGTTCCTCTCTGAAGATCATTTTTCTTCCCAAAGAAGATTGGATTGAAGTAGAAGGTGAGAATTGACTAGCCGTATTTGATGCCCATTTCCTCTTCCTTCTTCCTTAATAACAGAAACAGAACTCAAGTTTTGTTTTGGACAAGAGTGCTCAGTAAAAATACTCATCTGCACACCCTTAGGGCTTGTGGGTAGCCTTTTGATACATTCTGGCCAATGAAATGTAGGGAGAAGTTGCTGGATGGAATGTGTTAGTTAACTGGTATGTGTGTGTGTGTGCGCGCGCGCGCGCATGCACGTGCGCACGCTCAGTTGCTTCAGCCATGTCCGACTCTTTGCAACCCCCATAGACTGTAGCCTGCCAGGCTCCTCTGTCCATGGAATTTTCCAGGCAAGGATACTAGAGTTAGTTGCCATTTCCTACTCCAGGGGGCCTTCCTGGCCAAGGATTAAGTCTGCATCTCTTATGCCTCCTGCTTGGGCGGGCAGATTCTTTACCATGGAGTCACCTGGGAAGCCTATTAGTTAGCTGATACTGCATAACAAATATCCCACAGCTTAATGGCTTTAACAACTGATAAATGTATATTGTTGCACAATTTTGGGGGTGTGCAACTCAAGAGAGTTGATTTCACTCTCCGTGTGATTTGGCTTAGAGTCTTATGAAGTTGCAGTCAAGATATCTGTGGGCCTGTGGTCATCTATGAAGATTTAACTTGGAGGATCTTTTAACCATTATGTTTTATTGCTTAATGATAATAGTAATAATAGAATATCACCTACCCTAGGAAAGTAACTCTGAAATATATTGAGCACTATTATAGGCCAAATGCTATTGTGAATTTCAAAATGTTGATTAGAATTAAGTCACTTTGAATAGTCCCCTTCATTGATTTCTCTACTTTTGAAGTACTGGAATACTTTGAATCCTCTCGTGTTCCCACAACTTGCTTTCGTTTCTTGAACTTTCATTATTTCTCTTGAGAAAGACATTATCTCCTTCTTCTCCGTCTGACCAAATAGCCATTGCATACTCTCACAATTTAACCCAAAATAAACAAACAAAAAATAGTACAAGATAATACAAAATTAAGCGCTAAATTATCATCCAAAGTCAAATCTTCCAAACAAAGGCTACTTATGTTAGGAATGTGAAAGAGGAGAGTGAAAAAGTTGGCTTAAAACTCAACATTCAGAAAACTAAAATCATGGTGTCTGGTCCTATCACTTCATGGCAAATAGATGGGGAAACAGTGGAAACAGTAACAGACTTTATTTTTTTGGGCTCAAAAATCACTGTGGACGGTGACTCCAGTCGTGAAATTAAAAGATGCTTGCTCCTTGGAAGACACATTATGACCAACCTAGATAGCATATTAAAAAGCAGAGACATTACTTTGACACCAAAGGTTCGTCTAGTCAAGGCTATGGTTTTTCCAGTAATCATGGATGTGAGAGTTGGACTATAAAGAAAGCTGAGTGCCTGCAGAATTGATGCCTTTGAACTGTGGTGTTGGGGAAGCCTCTTGAGAGTCCCTTGGACTGCAAGGAGATCCAACCAGTCCATCCTAAAGGAGATCAGTCCTGGGTGTTCATTGGAAGGACTGATGCTGAAGCTGAAACTCCAATATCTTGGCCACCTCATGCAAAGAGCTGACTCATTGGAAAAGACCCTGATGCTGGGAGGGATTGGGGGCAGGAGGAGAAGGGGACGACAGAGGATGAGATGGCTGGATGGCATCATTGACTTGATGGACATGAGTTTGAGTAAACTCCAGGAGTTGGTGATGGACAGGGAGTCCTGGCGTGCTGCAGTCCATGGGGTTAAAGAGTCGGATACGACTGAGTGAACTGAACTGAGCTGAACTGATGTTAGGAATGAGAAATATCAGTAATGGCTAGAGACCTGGAAAGACATGTCATTGTGTGAAGAGAAGACTAATTGAAACACGACTAACCCCAAAGCAAGAGGTAGTTGGATGATGATAAATAAACTAAAGAAAGAATGGACAACAATGTCCATTGTTATATGTAGCTTTGAGACAAGAAATCGTTTGCTGAATTACAAACAAGAACTATGAACTATGAATATATATAGACTTCTGTTCTTTTCAGCAGTATTTCTCCCATATATACAAATAGGTAAACCTGTAAAGGTACTAAAGAGGCTGCTAAGTATAGCATCTACTAGCATTATAGCTAGGATTGGGGATGATATGGGACGTCCATATCGGGATGTGAAACAGCACCTGAGGTCTTGACTGACATTAAGTAGCTCATTAGCTCATTCCTCAGCGCACCCTGTTCTTTGCCCAATGATTGAAAAAGTCTAAAGCAGCCTTCATGGGAGGTGATGTTTACTGGAGGAGTCAAGGTCTTGGTAATATGATTCATCAAAAGTTGGTCTTGTGTTTGATTTGGAAATATTGGGGGAGGTCAAATTCTTAGTTGAAAGGTTGCAGGATCTGTATCCAGTCAACAAGTTTATAGAATGTTTATTATGTGTCAAGTTCAGTTGTGTTAATTACTCATTCTCGGAGTTTCCTTGACTTGTTCTTTCCCTCATGTTCTCAACCACTTTAGTAACCTAAGTTCAAACCCAATGGCTTTCTTCTACTTGTCTTCTACCACTTGTATCCCATGTGCTGCCATGGGCTGGTGATATCAAATCCTTACACCTTGGTCCAGATCAAGGCCTTTCATCAATCACAGTCTTTGCTCTACTGTTTGATACTCTGCATTATAACCACAAGGAATTATGGCCACACCTGTGTCTTTACCTTAGTTATCATACATAGCGATGATTTCCACATCTGGGCTTTTGTTCATTCTTTTTTCACTTTAGCATTTGTGAAAGCAGTCTTTTCTTAGTTACCTTGGTGTCCTTTTCCTAATGTTATATCCTGAAAAGTGAAAATTTTTGGTGTATTGAACCATTTAAGACAAGGGTAGATAATTTTTATCTTTTTAAAATTTGTATTTTCATTTACTGCATGTATAACCCATCTAGATATTACTTTGTTGTAGAAACAAAGAATTGGAAAAAACCTTAGAGCTTAGAGTATACCTTCCTTCCTTAATTTTTAGATAAGGAAACAGATTCAGAATGATTAAGAGATTTGGTCTAGGGCATTTGTGTAATCAGTAGGAAGAGTAAGATTAAAACCCACATTTTATAACTCATCGAGTGTGCTTTGTACTAGAAGAATGAATCCCTTTTATTCTTCTCTTATTTTATGTATCTTATTTTATAATACCCGAGATGTGAGCTGACCCACATCCATGGTATCAGTGCCATGCAATAGTTTTGGATAAGTAAACTTGGAAGTGATTTAATTGTCATGTAGATATATGTGAATATATCAGTCATAATGGGATAGGTCACATTCAATAACAAACAACCCACCCTTCTAACTTCAGTGGCTTACAACACCAAAGTTTCTTTCATGTCATATGTTTATCTTGGGTTTATTATGGCTTTGTTCCATGTTGTCTTCAATCTAGGACCCAGGATGATGAAGCAAATCTGAAACCAACTGTAGGAGACATAAAAGAGACGCAGTGAAATATGTACATACTGGGTCTCACCAGGGAAATTTCTGTGACAAAGTTTGTTGCCAATAGGAAGGAAAAGCATAGTCATTCTGCAGGTAGGGGCAGCAAATAATTTTGAAAAATAAACATCTACTGAGACTTCAAGTATTGAGTAACATACATTCAGTTTATAGCACACACACTATCATTGGTCCCTGCATGGTCACTTTGTCTTTTTATTCGTATTTGTTTGTTTTAATGTATTCTTATAAAATGCATGCTGTTGTTTTGGGATATGTATTCTGAATTTCTGTAATGGGTATTATTGAAGATTATATTCTGTTTATTGATTATTTTCATTCACCGTTATATTAATATTGCAAGATTTATCCATGTTGCTGTATGTTCATCCAGTTTGTTGCATCTGGTGAATACACAGTATTTCACAAACATCCTCCACACTTTGCCTGTCCACTCCCCTAGATTGCCTTTAATTCTCCCCTTCAGTAAATGATGCCATGTGAGAGTTTCTTTGAACTATATACTCAGGAGTAGGATATATAGCTAAGTATTGCTGTGTGAATATTTTCACTAACTTTTCAGAACTATGAACTCTTGATGTTACTAGAGTTTAGCAACTTTATATCTTAGAAATCAGTGTTACTAATTCTGTAAGTCAATCAAGTGCATCCATCAGAGAATGCACATATAACTAATGTGACTTGTAATTCACATCTATAAAGAGATTTTTCGCTAATGTTGATCTATAAGCATGTGTTACAAACTGTTGTTCTCAGGCATTGTTTTATATTGACATAAAACCCAGCCATAAATAGATAAACAAGATGTGGTGTATTTTTCAGCTGTGAAAAAGGAGTAACTTACTGATACATGCTACAATGCAACAAACCTCAAAAACATTATGTTGAGTGTAAGAAACCAATCACAATAACCCATATATTTTATGATACCACTTATATGGACTATCCAGAGCAGGCAAATCCATCGAGTCAGAAAGTAGATTAACAGTTGCCTCTGGCAGAGGACTAGAAAATGAGTGCCAAATGATATGGAGTTTCTTTTGAGGGGATGAAACTGTTCTAAAATTGCTGGTGGTGATGGTTTCACAACTCTACTAGCATATGCAAAACCATTGAGGTGTATGTACACTTTAAATGGGTGAACTTTTATAGCATGTAAATTATACTTTAATAATGCTGTTTTTTTTTTTTTTTAAAGAGCCAAACTCCTCAATTGGATCATTTGCCAAGAAGCAGATTGGAAATGAGTTCAATGTGACCCCTTAGTTTCCTACTTCCTTTGTGTAGAGTAGAGGAACTTTTTCTCCTCTTGTGGGAACCTGAAGGGAGAGAATCAGGACAGCTGTATCCCTGAGCTCTAACCTCAAGTTGTTTGAAAATAAACCTAGGCGTGTTATCGATATTTAAACTCATAATCTCTGCGCTGATATACTTTTCCACCCCTGATCTTTCGTTTAACTGTTTCCAGTTATGTTCAGGACAGCTTCACTTATGACCCACCACTGGTTCTCTTCTCCAGTGCTGAATTTCTGCTCTACCTTCAGTTTTTATATCTCAATATTTAGAAAACATGGCACATCTTTTCTCTTTTCTCATTTCTTCCAATTTTTTTATCATGGTGTCTTAAATAATTTTCAAAATAGGCCTCCTTTTATTCATGGGGCTTGACCCTGCCTCAAAGGAAAGAATTTTGAAAATTTTAGTGAAGAGGATTGTCAGATTTGTGCTGATTATAATGGTCTAAAAATAGCAAGGAAATTGTTTCTTTCAACAGAACTTACAAGTATCTGATGTAACACTTTTGTGAATAAAACTGGAAAAAGTTCTGATTTTCACTTTGTTTTACATATGTCATCTCATAGTCACCATAGCATTTGTGTTTGTCAAATCTGATAGTTTTTAAGTAAAGTATCAAAATCCTTGATAACTCAGAGGTGCTCAAGTGACTTGAATGCTTCAGCTTGAGATGGGTCAGCTTTCGGGGTCAAGTTGTGAAGAGAAAGCCATCACACACACTTCATCAACACTGTGGAATGAGAGACCAGTGCATTTACTGAGCAGTGGATTTCCAGTGAGCATATAAACTAATTGGTGGATGAACATGCCCCAGGAGCAATGATTTTAAGGTCATAGCAGGCTCAGTGAATAATGCTGACTTACACTGCATCTCACTGATAGCTGATCTTACCAATGAGCAGTTTAGAGGCATTCAAGCCTGAATTCTCTTCCATGTGCCTTGAATGGCATGTCAGCGGTCACTGTTTTTGACATCCTTTATATTTGTCCAGTCAGCTCTAAATCTTTAGGTTGGGCTTCAGAGTACTCAGGGAAAGAAAAGAGAAGCAATTATTTTCAGTCATTGAGTTTTGGAGATCTTAGCGTTAATTATGCCAAACACTGTTGGTTCATCAACAAATAAAAATGTTAAAAGGCGGTATGAACCATTCCAAACTTGCTTAGTTGTAGTTTATAGTGATTACGAATATCTTGTATACACTAATGTATTTTTAGATACACTTTTACCCATGCATACTCATGTATAGTTTCAAAAACATATGTCCAAATTAAAGCTATTTTCAACTTTAGAAGATAAATATTGAAAAGTTTATTTACTCTTAATTAGCATATGCTTTTTTATCATTTGGAAAAGGGAGAATAAAAAGTACAATTCACTGTTTCTGTGTGGAGCCCAGAATAATTTGGGATATGTAAAATATTTCAATAAAACAAAATCACAAAGGTCTAGCTATAGTAATAATAAAAAAAATTACTTTAAATAATGGGCTTTGATTTGAGGAGTTTTCTCCCATTTAACTTATAAATGATTATTTGAGCATTAAAAATGTTCTTTACCTATTGTATTTCAATCCCTGTGCTCTCTGACCTGTTGAAGTTTTGCAGGAAGTACCCAATCAAAGGATTTGAGGAAGCAGTACTGAACATTCTTTGCAAGTGTTCATCTGAGAAAATGAAAGTTAGAGATTAAGCTGGTATTCTTGCTAGTGACTCAAGTTTTAAAACTTATGCCCATTTAAATAAAATAAGTGAAAAACAGAAAGAATGTAAATTCCTTGCATCTCCTGGAGTCTTACATGTGTTCATGAAAAAATATTTATGTTGTAGCCAAAGAAGCACATTTAGTTCCTAGAGAGAGTACCATGACTGGTTTTCTTTTGTTGAAATAGAGATTTGAAATAGAATAGTTGTTTTTCATAACATATGTGTTATTATATTAGATATAGTGTTGAATTAGAATAGTTTTAGTTTCTGATTAATGAAACTAATTATTAGAAAAATCATTACCCTAATTCTTATTTTGTAACTCAAAAACAAACAAAAGATTTTTGTTTCTTGGAGGTCCTTATTCTTTCCAAGTGATAGAATGTGTTCTACTGTTACTGTCTTATCTTGCTTTTCATATTAAGATATAATAATGTCAAGATCTAACACTGAATTAATTTAGATTCAGCTGTCTCTACTAAGACAAAACAAAATCATAGTTTTTAAAAATGGAAATGATCATTTGTGAAACTATAGCTGCAATCAAAAGCAGTAACTATTATCCTTATAGGTTCATTATTCAATAAAGCATTATACTCTTTTTGCTATTCTTCATTTAATTTATTCCAATGAAATATGTTTATCTTTTATTAAAAATTTCTGTTTCAGATGAATAGATATATAATTAAAACATTACACAAAATATAATGATAGCATCTAGATCGTGGGTATATGGGTCTTCCCTGTAAAATTCTTTCACATTTGCTACATATTTGAAATTTTTCATAATAAAATTTTTGGGAAAAGCTTTCTATTTTGACTGAATGTCATGGCCAAACAGCCAGAAAAATTTTAACTTTGAAAAAAATATAAATATTTTAGTTTTTCTTTTAAACAAAGCAATGCAGATAGAATATAATTTATGATTGTAATAACATATTTTAGTCAGTTAACAAAACACAAAACTGATTCTTAATTATAAATCTGTTCACTGTATCCCATTCATATTTGGTTGGTGATTGAAAAAGCTAATTTGAGCATTTTTAATTGAATCAAGGCAGTTGCATCAAAAGTAGATTTTCAGCTGGAATCACTTTCCATATTTTTAAAGGGACTGTGATGAGATAAAGTATTTGGAGAGTCTTAGGAATAAGATGTAGATGTGTACGAGGACCCAAGTTTAGTTTAATACAGAATAAATTTTCTTCCCAGTTTTTTCCCATGTACCTTGGAGTGTAAAGAGCATTGTTAAATCATGTTTATTAAGCTTTTCACTAGGCTTAGTGATAATTATCTCAGATGTTAGAATATTTGTCCTTAAAGTAAGTAGATACTTTTAAAAAGTAAGGTACATCTTTTGGGTGTTTTCCTTTTTGTTTTCATTCAGTGTTTTGCCACATGTACGCCTGACATTTTGGTAATTTATAGAAGCAATGCTGAAATGTAGTGTATGTATTGTATATGCCCACCCCACCCCCTTTATTTTAACACACTGAAAAAAAATTTGCTACTGTTACTGACCTGCAATCCTTTTCCGGCAGACTTGCCTTACAAAGTTTAATCTTGCTGAAACGCTGAAGTTTATTTTACCTTCACCAGCAGTGAAGTCTATGAGTTTGCAAGTCATTATGCCTTTTATTTTCCATGGTAGGAATCTAGAGATGATTTTTTTAAAGTAAAATTTATTTTTAATGTCATGAGTATTCTCTCTTCTCCTGAGACTCATGTAGTAGCTTCTGTTTACCAATGAAAATAAAGACTTGTGAAAAAAACAAACCATTAACCTGGTCCTTGCATTCATTAGATGTATTTACAAATCATCTGTGATCAGTTTAGTTACCATCTCTTTGATATCCTGAAGCTGTTATTGCATGCTTTTGGGGTTGTGATATCATGCTGTGGAAGAATGGTTCAGCTGTGGGGTTTATGGGCTTTTTTATAGTTGTTCACAATATCCCGTACTAAATTATATGGTGAATTATTATACATTAGCTAGTTAAAAAGATGTTTAATTGATTTGCTATGCTAAAATGTCAAAGACTATATGCTGCAGGAATGATGCTTCCAGTTAACAACCTATCATGTATTCATGGAGACGACAATGCTTGCTCACATATTGGCAATATTACCTAATTTGGTGTGCTCTGTGTTGTAATTCAATAATCTAATATTAAAAATAGATATGACTATAGGGAGCAAACCCACATACAAACCCATCAACACACATGTGCAGGCTTATTTATGCTCATGTATATATTCAATGAGTTTTTTGTCTTACCTGCTATTAATGCTTGCACTAGTGAGTCATAAATGGAAAACATGTATTAGCTTTAAGGTAAAATAAAATAGATTTTGATTTAGTTCAAGTGAACCATCTCATTTAAAATTAGCCTAGGGGTCTTATAAAGAATGCAAGCAATCTAAACATAATAATGCACATTGCCCAATTGCTTCTGTGTATGATACAGGTTCAGTGCTGTAGTGCTTTGACAGCCCATTACAGAATGTAATGAACAGCTATTTTTAAACAGAAGAAATTCAGGTTGACAGCTTGGCAATGAAATTCAGCTAGTGGGATAATTTTTGTCATCTTTAGTATAGAGAATGGATTCATTTTGGTTTAAGGAAATTTGTATCATGTAGTTTATAGAGCACACATTTTTATTAAAAGATAATTCTGTTGTCCAGTTTAGGGGGCAGATGTTACTGTTAGAGTATAGAATTCACTTTTAATGCATATTTTAATGAATTGCTGACACATCATCTCTAGATGTGTCATCTCTAGAACCTAGGTTTAAAATAAAATTTCCTTTTTTTTCTTTCCTGCCATGGGTGAGATAGTCAGTCTAGTAAGATGACTGAAAGAGTGCCTATAAAAGGTGATTTTCAGTGCTGCTTTTTAGTTTTTCAGAGTTTAAAAGAAGTAGCTTTTTAGAAATAAGGAAGTCTTTGGAAATGGACATAAGGCTTGAGGCAGTGTTGTCTTAATGGAAGTAAAACTTAGAATAGCGTGGAGGAAAAGAAGGATAATATCTGGCTGACTGTATATTTTAGAGAAATTCTTTTACCAAGGATAAGGGGATGGTAACGTCTGGTTTTGACAACTCTTAAAAAGTTGGAGAGGTTTGCTCTTCAATTCTTAAATAAAATAGGTGTATTTTAAACTCAGACCATAAAATATAAGCGGGTAAGTGACTGAGTTACTTCATCTTTTCATGTTTAGAACAAAATTTGTCTGAGAAATTTAATTGCCATTTTTTTTTAAGTGCAGCTAATTATCAGGGCTTTTCAAATAGAAATCTTCAACATCGAGGACTTGTATTAAATGTAGCTTGTAAAAAAAAATACAAACAACAAAGTAGCAATACATTATTTAGTGAATTTGGGGTGAGTTAAATAAGT